CCTCCAGGGGGGACCTGGTGGTGGCTGTCCCCACGTTGGGATGGTGGCTCCTCTGGAGGGGACCTGGTGGTAGCCATCCCCATGTAAGGATGGTGGCTTCTCCAGAGGGAACCTGGAGGTGGACGCCACCACAGATATCCTTTCCCCAGCACATCCATGCAGAGATGACCTAGTGGGGTTCGTTGGTGTCTTGGATGTCACCGGTGGGGTGGAAGGTGGTGGTGGCCACTCCCTGGTTCCCAAAAAGGGACATGCCCAGGGTCTCTGGGCCATCGCAGGACATGGGGGTCACACAAGCCCAACATGTTCCTGCCATCAACCCTTCTACCCCTCAAATTAAAGGGATTCAGCTTAAAATAATCTATATAAGTCACAGGGGGACACGCAGCTTGGGGACAACCCCCATCTGCAAGCAGGAACGGCGGTCACGGAGCAAGTGGTACCAGTGCGGGCAGGGACCGGGCAGACTGGGACCAGGCCCCTGTCCCTCGGAAGCCCAGCAGCTCTGACGGGAGATTGCACCGAAGAGCAAGTTACTGGAATATTTTTACCCAGATGCTGATTTTCGTTCTCCCTCCCATTGGCTGGGCCGCAGTTCCCAAAGACCCAAAAGCAAACACGCTATTTTTAGAGAAGAGTTCATTTACTGGAGCCATTCCCTTTGAAATTCCTCACCCATCCTCTCCATGGAAACCGAGGGAGCCTGGAGAAACAGCCCCACCGGGACCAACCATCAGAGCTTTAAAAAGAGCCATGTTGAGGGAGAGGGGGTGGAAGTGGTTGATTTTTCTTCTCCGGACACATCCTGGCCTGGAAACACCATGGTGGAAATCGCAATGTCTTTGGTTTAGTGGGTTCTGTCTGTGCAAGCTGGGCTTGATGCCTTCAGGAGGAGATGTCCTGGAAGATGGACCATGCCCGCTCTGAAAATCATGCCTGTGTGGCTAGTGGGGCCTGTTGTTTTGGATGGGTGGTGGAGATAAGGGGAGGGGGATGGCTGGGTGGGTGGCTGGAGTTGGGTGGAGATGGATAGAGATGGGAGGAGGTGGATGGAGATGGGTGGAGATGGGTGGGTGGATGGATGGATGGATGGATGGAGACGGGTGGGTGGAGATGGATGGATGGGTGGATGGAGATGGGTAGATAGAGATGTATATATGGATGGAGATGATGGAGACGGATAAATGAATGGAGCTAG